TTTTTTTTTTTTTTTTTCCACCGCACCCAGCTTGCTCCCGTGATGGACTACAATCTCAATACAAACTAGTAGTCCATCACTGGAGCCTTTTTTTTTAAATCCGATTAATCAAACTGAATAATCGGCTAACTAATCGATTATGAAAATAATCGTTAGCTGTAGCCCGACCCTGAATGCAGGTGTTTTTTTGTTGGTAGATCTCATTGAGCTTGTCGTTTTGAAAAGTAGATCTCTAGATGAAAAATTGTGGGCACCCCTGCACTAGAATATTTTGCTGGCACTCAAGTAAGATGTAGGCACCATGCCTTGTGAGGCCACGAACATGTAAATCAACAATGCCATTATATGATAATACTTGTGTGTCTTAGTTCTGAATCTTTCAACAGAGATTATGAAATGTAGTTTGTATTCATTTTCTGTCTAGCTTGCCTAGTTTTTCCTTTTAGGAGGTTTAGGGCCACATCCACTTTGCCAAATTTGACCCTATCTTTTCTATGTCCTAACATGTGTATATTTATTTAGGAAAGTCAAAACCCTTGTACTATTGCTAACTAGACTAGTATTTTGTAAGTTTGTGACATGCTGCCACATAAAATACTAATAAAAATATTTTTATTGTTTCTAGTTGATCAGATAAAGAAAGAACAAGAGCCACCAGCTGAAGTGGTGGTAAAACAAGAGGAAAAAGAACCGGTTAAGCCTTCTCACGGAGCAACCCCTAAAGGTCCACCGGAAAAAAGAATGAGGTTACAATAAAATTTGACTTCAGGCTTCTTGAAAAGGATTTCCCTAACAGTCTTTATATAGGTTGTCTCCAAGGGTGTATCAAGTCTGTGTAATTTTTTCAACTTAAGTGTCTATAAGTCAGATGAAGTTGAGGTTCATTCTAGCCTAGGTCATCTGACACACTGCTGCCAACACTCTGTGCCCATGGGTTGTAGTGATTGGTACATGCAAGGCCTTTGGAATGTGTGTGTCTAATGGCTAGCTGTATCTTCTAAACATTACTACAGGGGAGTTCTGAAGAAACTGGCTGATGACATAATACAGGAACCCACATCAGTGACCTATACACTGACTGCATTCTCTGAAATGTCTTTATATCGACTGCAACAGAGTCTTAGAATACCTAAAATGTGTAAATATGTGTACATGGTCAGTGTTTGTAATGTATGAATGTCTACTCTGCTGTTTTTTTGGGGCAGTACTAATAAAATGTTTTGGGTTTCTTTTTTTGTACGTGTGGTAAACTATATATAACTATACTATAAGTAATACTATTGATAACTTTATATTAAGTTGCTTAATAACCCCTTCATGACTGAGCTTTTTTTTCAGTTTCTGTTCGTAAATGACTGACAATTTTTACATTTTTGCTGTGTGATTCTTCCACAGCAGTAATATACTTTCTTACTAAATGTCCCCACACGTATTATATATTGTTTTTTAGAGGACAGATAGGTACACATGTTTGATATAATTATATAGCCCTAACGCCTCACTTAGTTCTTTTTTTTTTTAAGCAAGTAATTTTTATTGAAGAATTTTCAATAATACAAGCATACAAAGCACACTTAATCGCAGAGTGACAACAGTGTCAGCGACTAAAAATCCTGTAGGCATGGGTAAGTAAGAATACATTACAATATGTAACAGAACACAAAATCCAACAAACAATAAAATATAACACAGACATAACGGGTGGATTGTTGTTAAAGGACATTCAGGGGTCCCAGGGTTGAGGTAAGTGTCGCTTCAAGATACCATTTAGTGCCTTTAAAAAGGGACATCAACTCTTGAAGCTTTACTAAGGGAAGCTCCCAGCTTAGAAACAGGGTCCAGGAAGAGAAAAATCTATCAGCGTGGGTATAGTTGTCTCGGGCGTCAAGTTTCTCCAGGGACATCAACATATGCAATAATTCTTTCAGGCCTGCTAAGGAGGGAGGGGTTGGTGAGAGCCAGCTCGTCAAGGTAGCCTTCTTAGCAGCGATAAGGCAGATATGTTCCCAGCGGGAGGGTTGTTTGGGCACTGGTGACATAAAGGGATTAACTACATGAAATAGGCAAAGGGCCGGGTCAACAGATCTATGGGTATCAGAGCCTGTATTCATGTACGTTATAGTTTGTGTCCAAAATAATTGGATGAAGGGACAATACCAAAGTAAGTGTTCCAGGTTTGGGGATAGTGCATGGCATTTGGGACATGAAGTCAACCAATCGGGGTGAGGACTTAAATTTAAGATTAAAGGCATAATACGCTCTGTGAATTATTTTGAATTGGAGTTACCTCCAGGTTTCACATATAACCACTTTCCTTAGGGAAAGCCAACCTTTAAGTAACAGGGAATCAGTGTCTTCCAAGGGTAGCTGAAGAAAGGCGGACCATTTGTGCACATGTGGTCAGTGCGTTTGGTAGGGGATGGCGCCAGCGTATGATTTGTACTATGCAAGACAGCGGCATCTTCTCAGATGGGGAGGACAATAATCTACTGAGGCGTCCACAAATCATACCATCCCCTGCTGGGGCAAGATTATTGGCTATGAAATGTCGTATTTGGGCATATTGAAGGAAATGCGTAATAGATATGGCTTGGGTGCTCAGCAGGTCAGCAAATGTCTTGCAGGAGCCCTAGGGAGTCAGAAGGTCTTTTACCGTGTGAATGCCCTTGGTTTGCCATTGAAGAAAGACCCTGGAGGAGTTACCTGCGGGGGAAGGCTGGGGATGATGTGAGTGGCATTAGAGGGGACACCACCCCCGGGATTCCCAGCAGCTTCCTGACCTCCCTCCACGTGATCACTGTATCTCTCAGTAGAACGTTACTCTTAATTGTTGGTGGTAAAGCTTTCCATGGGGTATGTATGATGCCTGGCAGGGACCATGGGGCGACCATTTGTCTTTCCAATGGAGTGTTAGTAAAGTAAGAGGTGTCATGCAACCAATCTCTCACATGCCGAAACAAGCTGGCCAAATTATACAGTTGAACGTCCGGGACGTTCGCCCCTAGCAACGTAGACGGCCTTTGGAGTTTCCTCAGAGCTATCCTCGGGCGTTTTCCTCTAGTAGCAATATTTTACGTACATTTGTTACTGCAGACCGCCCACTGACAAACCCCACCTGTTCCGGAGAGATGAGCTTCGGTAACACGGCAGCCAGCCTGTTAGCTAGAATTTTCGAGAGAAATTTGGCATCGACATTTAGCAATGAGATCGGCCTGTATGAACCAGCTTGCAGCGGGTCTTTTCCCTTTTTCGGTAGGAGCCGAATGTAGGCTTCTGTAAAGGTGGGGGGGTATTGACGCGTGTGTATTATATGTTGGAAGAGGTCTTTTTGTGTAGGGGGAGATATCAGGGGATAGTATATGGTAAAATTCAGCTGAAAACCCATCAGGTCCTGGGGCCTTGGATCTAGGGGAATGCTTAATCACCTCTTCAATTTCTGATAACGATATGTCTGCATTGAGGGCGGATAATTCATCCGGGGATAAGGTTGGTAATGGAGTGTTGTCTAAGAAAGAAGAACCTGTGGCCATATCACCCGGCTCATGTCTGTTTGTAAAATTTACTGAAGATATCCCCTATGGATTTCGAGTCTTGAGTGCAACTTCCCTGATTCATCTAGGAGTCGAGCAATATGCGTGGGCGGAGTTCTCCCTCGGGCAAAGTTGGCTAGGAGTTTACCTGAATTATTACCAAATTTGAACAATGCCAAATCTCTGGGGTTTCTGAGAATAAGGTCATGCTTATTCTCTTATTCTTATGCCAGTGATCCCATTCTTGCTTGGCCTGCAGCCAAGTAGATCTGTTAGTTAGAGTAGGGTCATGTTTATAATTGAGATAAGACTGTCTGGCTGTCGTGCTAGCTTCCGCATATCTGTGTCGGATCATGCGTTTTTTCGAGGAGGCATAAGCCAACACCCTGCCCCTAAGTACTGCTTTCGCAGTCTCCCAGAAAAGAACCGGGTCTGATGCGTGCTGTGCATTGTCCGTCACATGGCCATTGTTTGAGTTCGCCATGAAAGGTTTCATCACGTGATAGGTAAGACGGGAACCGCCAGATGGCGGGATGGCTCTGTGCGCCAATGTTTTTTACAGTGACCATGAAAAGGGCGTGATCCGAGATCACTAGATCATCAATGTGGGCAGACACTATATTAGGCAATAAAGCATGAGTAGAAAAAAACATGTCGATGCGTGATAAAGCTCTGTGTGCATGGGAAAAGTGTGTGTATTCCCGCTCCAAAGGATGTAAATACCTCCAAAGGTCCACCAGTCCACTGGCTTCAATCCAAGTATGTAGATGAGAGTCTTGGGGATGAACCCTCGTGGGCGTAAAGTCTTGTTCTCGGGATCGATCCTCCCGAGCGGCTGTTACTGCATTAAAGTCACCACCAATCAGAAGAGGGCGATCAGAGGGACGAGACGAGAACAGTGAGAGCAAATGGTCTAAGAATGGTTTATTGTCACAGTTAGGGCCATACACATTCCACAGGTCCAACGAGTGGGATCCTAGTTGTAGAGACAAAAAAGACCCCCAACCGAGGTAATATCATAGCGATGATCAAGTACAGCGTGCAGTAGGGATTTATTAATCAGGGTGACCACCCCTGCCGATTGGCCCGCTGCAGGTGCTCCTGGGGCCGTCCCGACCCAAGATTGTTGTAGGCAAGAGACATCAGCTTCCTTGAGGTGCGTTTCCTGAAGAAGGGCAATGTCAACTTTGAGGCTCTTGAGATGGCGAAGAATCTTGTCTTTTGTTGTGGGATTTCAGTCCCTTAACGTTCCAAGTAATAATGTTCAAGGGGGATCCCATAGGGCAAATAGAAGCAGATGAGAAGCAGGAGATATGAAGGTAACACAATAACGTGAGGCACTAGCGGGCGTCCCAGTGTTCCCGCAGTGTCCAAAAGAGGTAAACCCATTGTGTAGGAGGCAGTTCCAGGGATGTTGAGTATGTCTTGTTAGTTTGGCGAATGAACAACACGGTTCCAAGAGTGTAGATACAGGCCGAGGATCGGCCTCAGCCAGATGGGTGTGCGCATTTGGATAATCAGACAAAAAAGAACAAGTATTAGAAAGAATAAAAAACAACAGCAAAACATCTGTACGTACTTCCTTTTTTCCCTAATGCTAGCGGTCTGTGTGAGACCCAAGATGGAAGTCAACGCGACTTCCATAAGCCAGGTCCGCATACCGGAAAAAAATGGGAAATGGTCCCTCCGTCCCATCTATGGAAGTTTTTGGCTAAACAAAATCAACAGTTCCCAAGTGTAAAACGTATAAATGGCTGATAGGCAGACAGTTTTATGAAGAGGCAAGGAGCCTAACAGAGCCTGAATATCTAAGGCACATAGCCACTTATGCATGACTTGCATAACCATCACATAGTGAATAACCTTTTCCCGCACCTTCGAGGGGAGTGACTCAAGCCTTCTTTTTCCTTGGTGGGCTTTTCATCGGGGATGACAATTGAGGTGCCTCTCTGGATTCCAGGAACCTCTGAGCCTGGAGCGCAGAACGAGTGACCGGAAAACTGCAGGATTCAATCCCATGTTAGCCAACAAAACACGGATGTGTTTTACGAAGTGACTGGAAGAAAGAGGGCTGATGGGAAACAGTAGTAAGGGATAGTCCTGCTTGTGAAGACTAAGAGCCAAAAAGAGTTGATCAAAAACTGCCACTGGACACCAAGCGTTCCTGGTTTGGAAGAACTTGACCACATGCCCCGGACCCACCTGCCTGGTTTTGTCGTGAGGTAGATGTA